GAAAGTACTTCAATTTCTTCACAAACAGTATCTATCTAAAGAAAGACAACGTGGATGAACTGAAGTGCTGACACAAACAAGCCAAATGAGCAATTGTGAGGTACTTAGGATGGGTAAAGCCAGCTCTCTCTTCTTCCTCCCCTGAAGTGTAATATGTAATTTTTATTTGTGTCACACAGCAGAGGCTCTCGCTGTGCAGCTGTACAAGCTTTCTATTGTGATCAATGCTGCACCTGTCAAGCTCTCAGCTGGTTTTGGAACAGCAGTCTAACTCAGGGGGTTTTGTGCTCTGCCATAAAGTACTGGGAGGGGGAGAAATCACAATTTGTTTGGAAGAAAGATATTTTACTACAGCTAAGAATTAGCTATAAATTTAAAGAACAGATTTAAACTACCAAGGTTTAATATCCAAATCATAATAGGAGTTGTAACAACACTTTTCTAAATAAGAACAGCTCTAATGAAGTACCTGACAAACTGCTTAGTACTTTAACTTAGTAATTTAAATAGTTTTTCCTATCCTTACTTCATCTGCCTAAGGCCTGGTAATATACGATGCCTAAAATCATGTTAGTACATGCAGTTTAATGTATACCTTGACACAAGGGGAGAGAGCACATACCTGATATAACTCTGAAGGTGCAGCTGAAGCAGAAGCAGGTAAGGGTGGTAACTCCGGCAACCGCTTTGCATGACTCATGTTATACACAGAATAATTTTGTGACTAGGAAGAAATTAAAAACAACTTCAAAGACATTTATGAAATAGACTGTTTCAAAAATGATTCAGAAAGAACAGAGACTTTCAGTTTTCATTGAAAATGACATATTGCAACTTTTCTAATTTTAAGGAAATGGACATTCTGTGAAATGAGTTCCTCAGCAAAACTGTTTTTCAGACGTCACTGTTCTTTGTAGTCATTTGATAAAACTTCTAATCACCAATAAATGTCATATTTTAAAAAACCCAGTGTTTTTATCTCACTGAAAACAATTCAAGCAGTTTTTAATATTTTTAGTTATACTAAAAACGCCACATATCATGTGGAGTTTATAATGGTATAAAGACTGGATATTAAAATATTAAAGCCTACCAGACTACCAAATAAGCAGTGAAACAGTCCAAGTTGTGTGAACTGCATTAGTGGGGCGAAATAAACCACTAGATTTTTTTCATGTCTACAATGACCCAGTTCCAGAAGAACCTGTATTGCCAGGATGCCACTGGAAGACAGATTGATCACTAGGACTTTGCAAAAGGTTTTAATACAAATGTCAGAATACCTAGCAGCTCCTCAAGGTGACAGTACTTTGACGTAGCCTTCCAGGACACCATACAAAGGTCTCTAAGGATATTTTCTCAGAATTATTTAGCCTCACAGTGCTTTAAGATGTTTTTGAATGGCAGCTTTCCTTAGTATAGGCCAAAATCTCACCCCTCATCTGTTCTGAGGCTCCTAAATCAAACTTGTTTGGGAGAGTCACAAGGAACAAATTCCCAAATACATAGTGACACTATCAGAAAAAAGGACATGGAAGTATGTGGTATCTGAATATCATAAAACTGGAAGTTATCAACCAATGCAATTATGTTTGAATAACATATAATATTTTTTACATCATTTTTAATACATTTTTAGCACGTGGTTATTGCTTTCTGATATATGACTAAGAATCTAGGCCGCTCAAACTTAGCTTTCCAGCAGACAAAACTGTGCCCTCCTCAATATCAAAGTAGAGCCCATTTACAAATAAAATTTGGGAAACGACTAATCTGATTTACCTCCTTGGTATTCCCCACTGTGCCTGCACACAGACACACAGAAATCAAGACATTATCACCATCAGGCATATTTCACTAAAGACAGCATGAACTGCTCTTGATTAATGACTAAAGGACTGGGTCTTAGGGTACTTTAAAATGAATAAACCATGGGGTTTATTATGAGATTTGTTCATTCTTAAAGGTACAAGAGTTACTAAGAAAGCCATTGTTCATTCTAAAGCAACTCTTGATTTATATGTCACCTAACCTTTCAAAAAGTCAAATAACTGAGCAAAGGAATTCCAAAGGTCCAAAGAATATTCAACAAGAACGAATGTCTTCAAATAAGAGTTCTTCCAGTGTCAAACCACTAGCCACTGGTAATGGCCAATTTAATCTGAAGTTTTGAAGAAGTTATCAATCTCTCACAGTCACTGCAGAAAGAACTTACCCTCGAGAGTCTTGGGTTCTGTATTGGCTTCATTTTGCTTTGGTTTTTTATTTGCTTAGAAGTTTTTGGTCCTCCCCCTCAATATAAGCAACCTTGTTGCTACATGCGCTGGAGAAGAATTATTCAGATACTACACAAGGTGCCAAAACAATCAGCTTCTTATCCCAACTGCCAGGAAGAAAAAAAGCTGTCTCCATGTTTACATGTTTACAACACTTTCTTCCCCTCCAAACCATACACTCTCTTTTTCTTCATTCCTCGTCAAGCTCACTTTTCATCCTAATCTTTCTCTCTCCAGATGTCTTTCAAGCAAGATTTTTTTCCACCCTGCTCTTTCCACTTTCTAAAAAAACAGTTTCCTCCACACTGCCTGTTCTCTTCTAATGGCCTAGGGACTCTGGGCCCCTAACTGTGGTTTACAGCAGAGCCACACATTAATCGCCATGAGAAATAAGCACACATCAAAAGGAATGGGAAAACAGAAAGAGATGCCCAGCATACCTTAGACATCCACAGACTGCATGAGCGAGGAGGGAAAAGCAGGTACTACCTGCAGGTGCCCTTGTTACCAGTCCCTCTGCCTGTTCCAGGTTGGTGAACTTCTCTGACACTTGCCTTTCAGTCCCCAGCTTCGTTGCCCCAGTTACAGCATAGCTGGCGCTTGGAGACAGAAATTTCCTCCTCCCTCTCTTCCCCAAGCAGGAGAGAAAACAGCCCCTTTCAGCACAGTGTTGCACCAAGCTGTGGTCAGGGAGATTCAGTTGTGGAACCAATGAGCAACTGGCATTTATATGAAAAGACTGCACACAGCAAGGGAGCTCCCAGATCAATAAAGCCTATATAAACCCAGATTTTCTTAGGAGGAACTAGAAAAAAAAATTAAAGATTCAAAATCTTGAACCGACTTTTCCACCATTCAGAATCAAACTCCCTGAAGATCTGAGGACAGCAGGTGGGATACTTGTACTCCCAATTCTTTTAAGTCTGCTTGTATGCATGTGCCTCCCACTCATGGTCATCACTATATCTTGAAAGACTCCTCCATCAAACTTCTTCACAAATGGAAATTATTACCATCCAACATGAAATCTAGCGCAGTCTCCTTATACCAACACTCAAGAGAGGCCTTGTACATGTTCTACCAATGCAGCAAGACCTCCATTTTAACTTAAACTCTTTCCCAACATCTTTGGATGCTATTTTTCATCCTATTTTCTGTAAACCATGAGAATGGTTGATATCCCTGAGTTAACTGCACAGTTTTCCTTGCCTCTTGACCAAATACCAACTACAAGTGGAACATTGTTCCTGCCTGGCCACACGTGAAAGTTCCTGCCATAAACTAAGATGCTCTTTAAACACAAACCAGCGGTGTGGGCTACAGAACCAGCACTGCTAACGCTGGAGCTGGCAACTGCTCAGCTAGTGTGTGCAGTAACTCTCCAAGTATTTCAGTGCTGGTTTGCAACATGAATATTTTCCCGCTAATTCAAGCTGATGCTGGCATGAAGACAAGTTCAATTAAGCAACAGTTATAGTAACTACTGTTTCACTGTGTGCAACAACTTGGATCCTTATATATGCACGCCCTTTGAAGTTAAACAAATTACTTGTGCTGCTTGGCAAAAAGTTATTCTATATAGAAAAAAAAAGTAAATTTTTAGCAGAATAAATATTTAAACTTTATATAGTGCCATTATCACACTATAATTCTACCAGTTAGTTTTTCCCTATGCTCATTTTAAAAAAATTATGCAAAATTGTACAAATACATTTTATATGCACTAGACTACTAGGAAGGTTAATACACTATGTACTTTAATAATACGAGATATAAAGACAGTTCAAGCAAAGTAAACTTGCCCTCACCATCCTCTTCTTGCAGGTATCTTGTGTTGGGCTTTTAGAACTCATAGTCCAAATTTACATTGATAGGCAAATCTCTCTTACTTCCTCTGTCTACACAGATCCTCGTGTGTATCTCCAGAGCTCACTGAAATCAGCACTCAGGACACAGAGCTCTGACGGTCTGATAGGCTAAAAACACCGTACTTCATAAAATCTTTGCTCTGTAAGACCGGCATGCTCCAAATTAAACATGCTATTTATTTTGTTGCCTTTCAAAAATAGTAGTGAAACCATTAATGTTCAGTTTTGCTATACTCTCACGGGTGGCACCAATCAAAAAGAGTGATTAAAGCAGTCATGAGAAACATGGATATTTTACTGATTTCTGAGTAATTTACAGCATGAAAAAGTCTACGTAGCGAGAGCCGGGAATTCACTGAAGCTTCACACTTGCGTGTAACGGCACGGCGGGGGCTCTGGAAGGCAGCCAGCCCAAGCCATCGCGCAACACTCCTCCCCGCGCGTCCCTTTGGAGATGAGCAGTCCCATCCCAACGCTGGGACACCGTGGGAGGCACCGATCTTGCCGAAAACTTAATTTTAAAAATAATTATTCCTGCCGTGGAGCATCTCCCCAGGCAGGCTGGCTCCGTGTCCGCCCGTGGAGGCAGCAGAACAGGGTGGACACGTGTGGGAACAAGCCCACGAGGAGGGGCGCGGTGAGGCCCGATGCAGCGGTTCGCGGCCGCCGGGGCAGTCACCGCTCCACGGGGGATGGCGGCCCCTCCAGCCC